AAAATTTTTTGTTAGTTGACATAAACCCAGTACAAGGGGGTCATGATCCCCATGACCCGACCCCCTGGATTTCCCCTTGGGAGAAATCTAATTTCTTCTTCGTTATCCAAGCATCGGGTTATTTAAATTCGTAAAAAAACGCCGCGAAATCTGAAGCATGTCCTCGGTGTGCGATATATCTTAGGCAAGTTGATTGCCTAGTGTCCTAACCGTCCGATTTAAATGATGATAAATCGGGAAAAATTTCATCCCAAGATGGACGGGCTGGAGGCGGCAGCATTAGACTTGAAATCCTACGCAAAACCCGGAAAAGGGCGTCAAATGAAAGTCAGGCCTCATTTCGGTTCGTTACGATGAGGGTAGAAGAAAATGTATTAATGACAATTTTTCCCAATTTGCAAATGACCGAAATACATTGTTTCGCGTATTTTTAGGAATGATTTTATTAGCTTTTATATGTTCCATTTGGTGATTTAAATCATTCGATTATTTGACTTTCAGTTGCCTTTCCTCATTATTATCAAACGTTTTGCAATTATAAGGGCAAAACATTCGATTTATTCAATAATTGAATTCCTTTCTTCATTTTTCTGCTGAAGAAAGCGTAAAAGTATATATAAATTGAATATTTCGATGTTAACAAACTTTTTGCCCAGCTCGTCAATTTCCCCTATTCAGCAGTAAACGATTTTGACCCAGAAAATTTGAATTTATGAATGCTACATTGTGACTTTTTACTTAACAAACTGCCTAACCGCCCTTATGTGACAGAGATTTATGATGTGGCCTGCGAATGGTTAAACCAAATAATTTTTCTGCATGCAACACGAATAGACGCACTAAAGCATGCGCAATATTTTATCGATCACCACTTTTTATTTAGAGACTAAAGTATTTTCATACCCAAATTCGAAAGCTTTCTGAAATGCCAATTAGAAATTGTATAAAACAATTTCACATCTTCCAAGCTCGATGTCAAAACAATATTAATTGGATGAATAAAATTCTGGGAAAAAAATCCGGCATTAAAAAAGGCCTCGGTTTCTTCAAATGAATTATTCTGTCATTTCAAATGATTCAATTAGCAATTCAATTATTCCCCTGTTTTCCTTACAGTCGAATTTTTTAATCGCTGACAGTTGGTTTGCAGAGTATCGTCTTTTCTTACAATTAGATTTATTGGAAGCACGGCCCTAATCAACTTTCCTTCCCAATCATTACCTTTTAACTGTCGATTTGTCAGCTATTTATAAATATCCGACAAATAATCGGCTTTGACTTCAAGAGCCTGAACTTTGGCTCATGTAAGGCTTCTTGAAAATTCACATATTTGGCTTCATAGTGTTTGCCAATATTCGTCTTACCGCAAATAAAATCAATACGTAACTAAATATATAATTTCAACTCATTAGTTTCAGTAAATTGAATACTAGCATTGCAACTACATCCGAAGATTTGCTTGCAAAACGTTAGGAAGAAATTATTTTCCACGACGGCCTAAAGGTCTGCAAAACTCCCCAGTTTCATGCAATTGCCGCAAAAGCCTCGTTTATTCAATTTACTGTTATTAACTTCATTTGTGTAGCCAGTGGTAGAAATTTTAACTCATAAAAGAACAATGGAAACCGCGTGTAATTTTCGCAACATTTCCTTTACATTGTGTTGAGGTAGAAGCTTAAAGAGTAAATAATTTGGACGATTCTTTAAAGCGATTAGCAGGGCAGAAATTAAAATGTGACGTAAAAAGCGCTCGATTAGAGCCGAATTAGAATTAGCAGGGTGAACTAACAATAATTCCCCTAGGATTATTATTTCATAAAATAATCAATACAACGAGGGAGGCTAATTGCCCTCAAAAGTCGAGAACTGACAGTCACGCTATGGCATAATTATGAAAAAGGCCATAATTTGATAAAATACATTTTCTTTTTATAAATACGCACAAGCACGATTGATATGGGCTTGCTCACAACTTCGCAAATAAATAATTAGTCTTGAAGTTTGCTGAAACTGTCCGACTTTCGGAAGAGTGAAAATATACCGGAGAAAAGAACATCAATTTGCTTTATATTTCGGTACATCTTCGAAGAGTTGAATAAAGTTTTAAGTCCCTCATTATTGATATATAAAGCTAGCAGAATTCAAAATAACTTCGTAGCTTGGGGCAATTTTTATCGACATTTTAACATTGCGGAATCAATGGAGCAAATAATCGGCCCTCGGTGCTTTATAAGTGGCTAATCACATCATTTTATTAGATTATGTCTACATTTCTTTCATCTTGCCTCCGGCACTTACATTTATGCGAAATAAATCTAACAAATATGCCACGCTTTATTTCGGAAAGCGGGACTTGCTTCGGGATAACATGCTCAAATAATCCTTCCTACCTCCAAATTGTTTCAGAAGCTTTTAACAGTATTACTTCTGAATGTTTCTTTAGGCTAAGTGGGAATATAACAGCTTTGAACAAGGCGGCAGTTAGCAATCTACACACATGTTTTACATAATATAAAGCTATTAGAATAAATTGAAGCTATAAAGCCAATGCTTTTACATGCTTTAAAAACATCTGATTAATATTGAAGAAAGTAATTAATTACCAACACTGAGTATTTCGAGCTTTGCAGAACTTTTTTTGTCAAGCCTGAACAAAATCCCTTGAAAGGAAAAATACTTTAGTCGAAAAACAATCTTTATCAGAAACCCCGCTATCAATTTAGCACCAACGACCTTTTAAATTAATTAGCAATTATTTTCAAAATCTACTGAGTTGATTCAATTAATTAGCGAGAAGAGGAAAAGAAGACCCCAAATTGTAATACAATTTTCTGAAAGTGAAATGGCGGTTAAGACTTTTAATTTTGTTTTTCATCTTGGTTGAAAGCTCTTCAGTAATTGTAAATCGATTACTCGGAAAATTTGATTAAAAAGATTCAATTATATTCGAAAGACTGTTGTTAGCAGACAATAGAATACCGAATTAATGAAATGATGTCCATAAGTAAAAAATCAAAAGATCCAAAGCTCAATAAGATCCACATGGCGTGTCATACTCCGACGAATTGTGAGTTGAGTACGACGAGTTGTGAGCATTTGAAAATTGCAATAATCATGTAGTTGAATCACTACTGATCAAAATCCAGGCTGTTAAAAAAAGTTACAAAAAGGTATTTTCTTGAACCAAACTGAAAGCCTGTAGCTTTGCGCGTAGCAAGCCCTTCAACGCAACTTCATTTGTTTGATTCGCGCAAGAGAGCGGTAGGAGGGCTCCGATGAAACTCCTTTCTTGTCATTGGCTTTCAGTTTGAACTGAGCGCCGCAAGAAAACTTCTGATCTTGAGGAACTTAGAACATATACAATATTTGCGCGACTTAAGTGCGTGTAAGCATGACTTTCGAGAAAGTGTTCAATTGTGTTGAAACATATATTGTACTAAGATTGTAATTTGTGTGCTGCCTGGGGAAAGTTTGGATTAGTTGAGAGGGCTGTAATTAAAGTTGCTCTAATCGACTACAAAGCCTGTCGAGTTCCAGCAGCGATAATAGTTTGGTAATTACAGCCACAAACCCTGAGATATAACAATCATTAGCCTCAGAGGATTACTCTAGAAAGTAAGATTGCTTACTCCCTAGTAAGTACTAGAAGCGAACAGAATGCAATTGTTTTGACCGACTGTTAGTATTGTTCCACTTTCGCCCGTTTTTCGATTTGGAAAACAACAAAATTAGGCTTTTCGAGACCGTTCTATTTAAAATTGCATTTGCTATACTTTGCAAATGTTTGTATTTTTATTATTAAGTACTTAAGCAAGCTTCTAGAAGCTCATCAAATTTGCAAATAATTTGAGTTGCCGAAAAAACTTTCCCGAATGTTCAAGCAAACTTTGAGAATATCGGCAGTTAATGTTGTTTGCTATATTCCCCAGTTCCAATTAGTTTAGATTATATCCCTCCCATTTTCCAGTGATAAATCTGTGTAGAGCCGAAGAATCACGTTCCGTTGCTAGCAAAACATTTTCAGGGTTGCAAACGAGAAAAAGATCGTCGCCTCGTTTTTACGCTATTCGCAAATTTACCCGATTATTCGTCGTTGAATTTTGGCCAGTGTTAAATGAGACCGAAAAAGGTTTTTTAGCAATTCATGATATGCGGTAAACATGGATTTCTGATAAATATTTTAAACGGAATATCAGGCAAGGGGCATGAAATATATTCGAAAGGAATGAACATCTCTTGTCAGCTGTTCATAATGCTCCGCCTTGAAAATATCCGAATAGGATGTTAGTCTGATGAACGTAGGCAGATTTATATTAATTGCTTTTCAATTAAGCTTTATTAGGTGTAGACGGTTTTTGGGCAAGAGAATGTTTCCTTTGGAAATTTGGAGGAACTTTGCAACTTCAAACACGTGTCCCTCCATTCACTTCTCTCAGCTCAATATTTTTATATAATGACGATTTCATCAACCTAACAGAAAAGCTCCCAGAAGCTAATCGAGTGGCTTATTTACAGTCGAAACGTTTAAAGCGAGATAGAAAAAGATGATAGATCCATCTTCATCAGAAGAAGATAGTGATGAAGAACACGGATCTGGACATCATGTGGGACACCACCCACCCACGCATCATGCTCATCACCAAACGCATCAACACGCGGTATAAACAAATTGTTTGATTCGGTTTAAATTCATTAAGCCCTACTTTTTATGACAGGCGGAAGCATCTCCCTACCATTCTCATGGATCCGATGGTAGCGGAGTCCTAGAGATTCCCAACAATGCTGCCGCGCTGCAGCGATCGTTATCACCAAGCAGTGCCGTCTCGGTTCGTAACTGCTAAAATACACCTGGACCACTGAAATATCAATGAATACCTATAGGTGGAAACCCATAGCATTGGGTCTTCCTCCAGAGCAAATTCTCTCCCTCGACCTACTAGCCCTTCTCCGTCTGTTGCCTCGGAAAAAACCGAAGTTGACATCCAGGAGAAGCACGAACGCGAAGAGGAGGAGAGGAAAAAACGTATTCAGCTTTACGTTTTTGTATCGCGATGTATAGCTTACCCCTTCAATTCCAAACCGGCCGTAGAAGGCTTCAAGAGGTTACACAAAGTGACCCGGCATCAGTTAGATGCCATTGTAAATAGATTCCAGGTAAGTAATTCTTTGAAAATGCTCAACAATAAAAATGTGTGTTGTTTAATTAATTATACCGACCGCTGAATATCATACGTATACAATCAAATAGATTTAAAATGCAAAGCTGTGAGGGCCTACAATCACCAATACTGCAAGCTATGGCCGCGAAAGGCTTTTTTGGGTATCACCTAATGTGGATTGCAAATTATTTTACTAACGTTAATTAATGGTGTTTATAATCAGCTAATAGGGCAACTCAGTTTTTCCCTTCTTGATAGGCGCTTCTCAGTATGCGTGGGCCTTGTTTTTCTGACTGACTGGGAATTATGGCGACGAACTTGAAAACAGCAGCCAACTAATTGCACTGATGAAATTATGAATGAGATAATCAATCAAAACTCAATTATTGTAAAAAGCTTTTAAAAAGATATTACAATCTACACTAATCGAGAATTATGGCGTTATTAATTAAGAGAATTAGCGGAAAATTTACGATGCGAATCGCGAATTTCTCTTTCAGACATATTTGCCGTTCTTTCTCAACAGTTCATTTCTGAAAAAGCTTTCCGCTCATTTAATAAATTAATTCTAAGGGGAATGTTGGCAATCCGGATTGTGATAATTAGAGTTTACCTTTGAACTTGATCCTACAAACTCAACTAATCCAGCTTAGGCATAAGCTTGCTCTGAAAGCTCAATTTCAAAGAAGTTATCAGTTTCTTATGTGATTGTATTCATGCCAAACAAATTTTTATCCAAGAATGCCGGAAATAAGTTAAAATACCTTTTGAGCCCGTATTCTTTGCAAAGTATATGGGAAGTAGCTTATATAAAAGTGATATATTGTTGCTTGTACAAATAGAGCTGGAGAGCAAAAGCTTTATTAATGAGAAGTTTTTTGGAAGGCGCTTGACTGCCCACGCCAGCAACATCGGTTCAGAATAAAAGTCCTTTCTTCCCATTCTTCACTTGATTGTTAAACTTTTCGATGGAACATATCTAGATAAAAACAACAATGCCTGATGAAGTAAGGAAAAAATCGAACATTTCTTTCGTTTTAGAGTTTTTTAAAGGGCGAAACCCAAATAATGGCAGACGAAGCTTTTCAAAATGCTATTCAAAACTACTTCGATGTCTTCCTTAAGTCCGACAGGGTGGAAAAGATGGTGCATCTCGGTGCGTGGACTCAGTCCGACTTTCGCGAAGTCTTCAGAAGTAATATTGAAAAACGCGTTCGGTAAGTTAATCAACGGAAATCAGACTGAGGAGGGTTTTGTGAACCCGTCATTTCAGATCATTACCTGAAATGGAAGGACTCAGTAAGGAAACTGTGTTTACATCTTGGATGGCAAAGTTTGACTGCATTTTAAAAGGTACTATCAAGCCCAACAATTCAATTTGAATTCCTCCTACTTGCTTGAAAGGAAGATGTAGATAAAATGTGAAATTATCTGGGGAAGTCATGACTAAAGAACCTTTTTATAGTACAAGATGACGAGCATAAAAGGCCTAGAACTCAGGTGCATAATCAAGATTCAGCGACGTCTAAAGAGCATACATTCGATATGTTTCAACAAATACTAGGTGTGAAAAAATTCGAACATCAACTTCTCTATAACGCGCTGATGGTAAGTAGTAGTTGTGTAGAAAGTCGGTGTCGCAGTTCCCGGAACTGAGTAGTAACGAAGGAATTTAATTGATTCAGCTTGAATCAGCTGATGAACAAGCTGCAGCTATTAGAAGGGAACTTGACGGGCGAATGCAGAAGGTAGCTGAGATGGAAAAGGTAAGTTGCGGGGTCTTCAACTCAGTGACGGAAGTGTTGCCATTAGATCAGTTGCGAATAGTGGAAGCAAGCAAAAGTGCAACTAAGAATAAGAAAGAACATAATTTAATGATTTATGAGATTCAACTAGCTCAACTGATTGTGGACGACATGAGATGATGGGTTGTAAAACCAGCTGGAAGAACATTATCACCAACTGATTTTAAGTACCCATCCAGCAACAGTATTTTTTCTCCACTAGAATCGAAAGCTGTTCCCTAAATTTCTGTTGAAAGAAATGGAACTGTTATACGTCGAAGAACAAAAAGCTGCAATAAATTTATTGATGACCAATCTGGAGTCTCTACCAGTTTCGAAAGGATCCACGGATTCAAAATATGGCTTACAAAAACTAAAACGCTATAATCACAGGTTGCATAACCATAATAATCCGTATAATGTGAAGCACCTTTTGATGAACTATGTTACTTCTTTTAGATCGCAAGGATCTTTAGTGAAACTGGAAGGGGATTCAGCCGATAGTGATACAATGCTAACCCTTACTAAAATGGATGTTGTTTTAACATTTCAGCTTGAGGTGAGTGTCTGATGTAAATCCCGTTGGTTATTTCGATTAACAAATCTTGCTTTCGGCTTTTTTACTTTTACCTATCCAGAAAACTGGATAATCTCTGTCTTCTGCAAGCATGTTCTACCTTCATTCATAGTTCATTCAGATTATTTGTGTGTTGTACATAGTCAACTTCATCCATTTTTTAATTGTTGTCATTTTCTCATTGTAGCATGTTCTCCTTTCCAGCCCCATCTAAAACTGCTGCACTTCCAGCAACTTCAATTTTTCAAGTCTCTGTATTTCTATCTAGGCGTGCCACTCAGATGTCTCGGGAACTTTACACATCATCGATTTAATAATGTGTAACATTTTTGTAAACGCTCCCAATCATGTTGAGGAAACATTTCTAGCATTCTAAAGAGAACAATAAATTTTTCGCTACTCATGGAAAAAATCATTACGGAATAAAACATGCACTTGCACTTTTGATTTAAAGAAAAATTTGCTTTTTACCTGATGTCGATGTTTTATTAATCGAAATAACCGAATAATGCAAAATATTACTTGGCGCAGTCATGAATAGAAACACTCAGCTTGCTTGCATTAATGTGGCATTTTTTTGCAAAATGTTACTGGTGTTAAATCGATGTGCAGTATCAATTATTGATTATGCAAGCATTTAAATCAAAAAATGATTCTAATTCGTTTAAAATCGGAAGTTTTGATTCAGTTTTCTCTTAGCGCGGCACGAGCGCAACGCAATTGCAAATGAAAAATCGTTCTTTACAAAAACAGCACATTCATTAACAACTGCAAATAAACATAGTGAAAAAATTCCGTTTTTTCAAATGGGACACAAAGTACTCAAATAAACATTTGCGGGTAACTGGTTTCGGCATGAAAATCCACTGGCCAAACACAAAAAAATGATCAACAACTTAATCAATAAATGATACATCATTCAATATAATAAATTAAGAGTTTTATTTAAGCACTAACAGATTGTGATGAAAAGTATCCCCAGGAGTAAAATTTTGCAGCATATAGTAACAGTCCTATTTTATAGGTCCGTAGAAATATAATGTATATAGATTTATACATACGTTCTGTTGGGACTTTTAACCGTTCTTTAAGGTGATTGTGATGGAAGTTAGGGGTTTAAAATCCCTGCAACCGAATAGAATTGTATATTGTACAATGGAAGTTGAAAGTGGGGAAAAATTGCAAACCGATCAAGCGGAAGCATCAAAACCAATGTGGGATACTCAGGGAGATTTTTGTACAACACACCCTTTGCCGATTGTTAAAGTTAAGTTGTTTACGGAAAACCCCGGTATGCTCGCTTTGGAAGATAAAGAGCTTGGAAAAGTTACTTTGCGACCGACTCCGGTATCATCTAAGGTAGCTTGATGGTATTTGCTAAAGACGAGAGTAAAAAGCGAGATTTCCAGGCTCCCGAGTGGCACAAGATGATAGTCCCCAAAAACTTGCCAGATCAAGATTTGCGAATAAAAGTAGCATGTAGAATGGATAAGCCACTGAATATGAAGCATTGCGGCTATCTATATGCCTTAGGCAAAAGCGTGTGGAAGAAGTGGAAAAAACGCTATTACGTTCTTGTTCAAGTGTCGCAATACACATTTGCTATGTGCAGTTACAAAGAGAAAAAATCTGAGCCCTCAGAAATGATGCAGCTGGACGGATATACTGTCGACTATATTGAAGCCTCAAGCGGTAATTTGTGACTTATTTTATCAATTGCATCAGAATCTAGATTCAGATCAGAATTTAAACCATCCAGATTTCATCTAGCTGCTCGATTAGAATGCGAATTTGCGAGCTCCTGGATGTGATCTGGGCTCAATAACCCATACTAATCTTTATCTTTTTTAAGCAACTTTGATGGTCGGAACGGGTAAGCGTAAGTTACCTCCATTATGACAAATGGCAGCGGAATGTCTCTGTAAATATCACAAATTATTTCCAGACTTGGAAGGAGGTAGGTTCTTTTTTAACGCTGTTAGAGAAGGCGATAGTATTATTTTTGCGAGTGATGATGAAAATGAATGTCATCTATGGGTAATGGCCATGTATCGCGCTACTGGTCAATCGCATAAACCTACACCCCCCATTACGCTCCAAGACAAAAATTCGACGATTTCCAAGATCCAAGGAGGTGAGTAGTGGGTTCTGCTTTAAACTGGCATAAATTGATATTTGGACTTGTCTTCAGATGCTGATAAAGCGAGAAAGCATGGGATGGAGGATTTTATCTCAGCCGATCCTTGCCAGTTTGACCACGCTGTTCTGTTCCGACTATTACAGAGCTTAACACTCGAATACAGACTTGCCGATATGTATTGCTCTCTGGTAAGCTGACGCGATGTTAGCTTAGCCATCTCTAACACCAACGGTTTCCAGGGCTGGTTCAGCTCAGCGCAAATATTTGTGCTGGATGAGTATTGCGCAAGATATGGCGTTAGAGGCTGCTACAGGCATCTCATGTATTTGTCCGACTTACTAGATAAAGCTGATAAAAACTATATGATCGATCCGACTCTAATTCACTTCAGTTACGCCTTCTGCTCAAGCTACGTGCAAGGAAACCTGTGAGTAGATGGAAATTTGGAAACCTTCAAAAGAATGGCGGTTAACCTTTATTCCAGATCATCTACCAAACCGATAGCTATGTTGAACAACACCTCCTACCTGCAAAATTACTTTAAGTAAGTTTGCTTACTGGAATATGCCAATTTAAACATTTTAACAATTACCAACCTTAGCATGGAGCCTTGTACAGAGGGAGTTAGAAGTGTAACTTGCGAGGAAAAAGACAAATTCTATCAAGTCAGGGAAAGGTTGAGAGTAATGCTAGAAAACCAAGTGACGAATTTCAGGTAAAAACCAGCTTTTTCAAATTTTGTTTCATGAGCTTTCGGGTAAATCCTGCCAAGAGGCAAAGCGTCTTTCGCTGATTAAAACATTCCAAAATCCTTAAGCTCTTGAAATAATCTTCAATGTTGCCTAAAACTGACCAACTGCACACACATGGATCAGCAAGCCTTGACATGGATTTTGCTCCTGTTGATGTTTGATGGAGCGGTAACACTTAATTTAATTTTTAATTTCATTATTTCAACTGTTATTCCCGTTTCGCCTCCGGCACAGGTTTGCATGAAACTTTTGGTAGTAGGAATGTTGCTTTAACATTAGTTTCAGATTCTAACAGGTACGTATTCTTATGGGGAAAAGAATATTTAGATTTGTTTCAACTCCGCCCGAGATGTTTCTCTTGCAAAACACACACTGAACACTGCAATGTTCTATGTTAACAAATAACGTCTGAAAGTTGCATTTTTCAAGCTTTGCGTTATCACAACGTTTTAGATATACCTTCCCATTTGGCAGACCAGAAGGTGCTTTAAAAGCTACCATTGCCTTGTTGGAACGAGTTTTAATGCATGATAGCGCTGCTACTAACACAGCTTCAGACGAAGTTAGGGCGGTCATTAAAAAGTGTCTGGAAACAGCCGCTTTGGTTAATTATACCAAGCTATCAGAGGAAACCAAAATTGAAGGTAGGATAGGGTTTTGCCCCTTTAAGAAATGTATTTCATACTTGCAAGAAATGGCCATTGAAGGTTTTGGGTATTAGCTCATTAAGGATATTTTCAGAGGATTTACGAGGAGAAACAATGGTTTCACCGAGTAAGAAGCTCGATGATTTGATTCATCTGGCTGAGCTTTGTGTTGATTTATTGCAGCAAAATGAGGAGCACTATGCAGAGGTAAGGAAATTGATTTTTCGTCCCATTCGTTTTTATTCTCCTTATCAATAATGCAATTTTTCCATATATGTATAATTGATTTCTATTGTTGGTGAAGGCCCCAATATTACGACCAAGATTTCAGTGCGTTTCAAAGTAATTACGGGGGACGTGAAAAATTGCAGCCTTTTCCAATAGATTGTCGTTGTAAAATTTCGCCCATATTGAGTATAGTTGTGAAATTTCCAATTTAAATCAAACAAGTGCTGAGAGTTACAAATCAGTGTTAATTTGATACAGCGTTCAATGGTTGTGTGTTTTGCCGTGTATATAGTGTCCAATTTAAAATGACGTACCAGAGGGTCAAATTTCCTAGATAATCCTGAAATAAGTTGCGTCCAGTTTGGATAGCTTTCACTAAATAAACATACAAAAACAAAATAATTTGGCCATCTGGTACAACTTCTCGTCAAGAAGTTGCTACTCGTACTTAAAAATATTTTCTCTTGCAAAGTGCGGGATGGTCGAAATTAGGCGGGTTTCCTAAAGAATGTTCCTGGATCGATGAAAATTTCACGGTTCAATTGCTTCATTTTCCGTGGAATACAGTCCATGACGGAACATATTGCTAGAGGACCATAAAGCGTTTCCAGAATTATCTGAAAAATGTGCATTATTGCGTCCACTGTAAAACCATGATCAAAATTAAATTTTTTTATGTAACTCCGCTTTCATGAAATTTGTTTCGGGCAAGTGTTCTTTGCAGAAACAGCCCGATTTCGACGACCCTGCACATGCAAAACTGTGAATCGCTCTAACCAAGCTGTTGTCATTATGAATGAATCAAAATCAATTCTTGGGCTTCAGTCATTTATTGTCTATTTATCAATTAAAATACGTTTCGGTGTTTTCCACCATCATCAGCTTCTATGTGTAGCGTTGTTGCTACTTTAAGCCTTGGCATATATTTCTGCCAAGGCTTAAAGTAGCAACAACGCTACACATAGAAACTGATGATGGTGGAAATAACCGAAACGTATTTTAATTGATAAATAGACAATAAATGACTGAAGCCCAGTAATTGATTTTGATTTGGAATTGAAACACAGTCAGGAAAGTATGTACAATTATGAATAAACCAATCCAAAGAACCACTGGATTGATTCATGAAGCATCATTTTCCAAAGACTGCATTCACTGTTGTGATTTGTTTCGATTGATATGAGAAAAAAACGTGATAGACAAATTTCACAACGATCACAATCCTTCTATTCCATTGATCTTTTTCTTGGTTTGAGTATCCTGTGTATTGACTGTCTGTGTAATTTTGTATGTAACTGTAGCAACTGCGAAAGGCTGACAGCCATGTGGTCAATCAGTCTGCCCAAAATTCCCAGGCTGCAGGGTCGGGGCAACCGGCAGCCTCAGCTCCTGCTCAGGGCTCCCCGGGTACCCCCAGTCGGCTAGCCAAGCAGCAAAACAATTCTGTGCCTAGCTATTGCATGCCTCCGCATGCCATATTCTCCCAGGCAGATCCCATGGCACGTACTTTCTTAATCTTCTTCATTCTTCTTTCAACAGTTCTCATTTCACTGATCACTTCATGTCTGATATTGAGAGAAAATGATTACTTCTCGAAAGCAAACAATCCGGATCTTAAACAATTAGTTCTGCTTTGTCGAACTTAGCGGCAGCCAACAGTCGGCAACAACTTTGATGCGATTGTTCATCAACAAGACTCTTTGTTGATTTCTACTTGAACTCTGCCAGATTGAGCGCAACTTGCCAAACCGAGTTACTATTGACTGCCGCTAACTGAATCCTCAAGCAAAATTTGGTCAAACCACTCAATAGAAACATGAAAGATCATCGGCTATCCTTAATAGCTCATTTTTAGTTTGTTTAGTCAAGTGGATATTTTTAATTAACTTCAACTTTTAAATATCCGAGATATAACTTTCCATGTCAATAATAAATCTGTCCACTTGCCTCAGCGTTCTTTATGTTGCAAAGGGCAATGTAAAGAATGTGTTTCATTCATATTCTGAGTTAAAAGTCCAGGTGCCGACTGAGCGCATTCTGCACAAGAAACTTACAAAATAGCCAAAAGTTTTGAGCTGAAAAGTACTTTGGGAGTCAATGGGCGCCTAAACCTGCTAAGCTTTTCAGTGTCGTGTTTTCGTGCTTTTCGAACACTTTTCAATTGCTATTCGAATCCAATACTGTACATAAGTTTTCCATCATTTGAAAAGTGTTTCTGTGTCCAATAAATCAGTCAGCGCCTGACATACAGCATGATTAGGTGTTCTTGAACTTATACATATAATATCCTTTGAAGACAGAATACATTCATAAGTCAATGAAAGAACAGTTTTGTCTTTAAATCGTATTAAATATATCAAGAACACATGATGTTGCTATGTGATATAAGTAAAGTTCCTCTTTTTATGAAAACAGGCTTTCGCATGGTTCAGCGATCTTCTAGTGGAACACGCCGAAATATTCTGGTCCCTATTCGCCGTTGATATGGATCGAGTGCTAGCTGAGCAACCAGCCGATACTTGGGACTCTTTTCCCTTGTTCCAAATACTCAACGATTATCTACGAGCAGATGGTAGGATGGAACCTGAGATTATGATACCGAAACTAATCGCCCTTTGAAATTTAAAGATAATCTGAAAAACGGCCGATTCCATCAGCACTTACGAGATACATTCGCCCCGCTAGTTGTCAGATATGTGGATCTCATGGAATCATCCATTGCTCAGTCCATACACAAAGGCTTCGAAAAGGAGCGATGGGAAATCAAAGGGTAAGCTATTATAGAACATTCTTTAAATTCCCCATGTGAAAACCAGTAAGAAGACTCGTCCAGAATAGTGACGGTCCTGTCGGTTAAAAATTATCAGGTCAAATTTAATTCCAAATCAAAATCAATTCCTGGGCTTCAGTCATTTATTGTCTATTTATCAATTAAAATACGTTTCTGGAGACTCCAAATATATGCCAAGGCTTAAAGTAGCAACAACGCTACACATAGAAACTGATGATGGTGGAAAACACCGAAACGTATTTTAATTGATAAATAGACAATAAATGACTGAAGCCCAGGAATTGATTTTGATTTGAAATTGAAACACAGTCAGGAAAGTATGTACAATCAAATTTAATTAAAATTATCGCATTACAGCAATGGCTGCGCCACTTCTGAGGATTTATTCTGGAAGCTGGATGCTTTGCAGTCATTCATACGGGATTTGCATTGGCCAGACACAGAGTTCAGGCAGCATTTGGAGCAAAGGCTCAAGCTGATGGCTTGCGATATGATCGAGTCTTGCATCCAAAGAACTGAAGCTGCCTTCCACCAATGGCTTAAAAAGTCTGTCACGTTTTTGTCGACCGACTACATTCTGCCCTCGGAAATGTGCGCCATGGTGAATGTCATCTTAGATGCAAAGAACCAGTCGTTTAAACTGTGCGCTGTGGATGGCATTGATTTGGTACTTACTTGGTTTTACGCCGCACCACTTTTATTGAAGTTACTACTTTCAGCATCAATATCATACGAAAATTGATGACCAAATTGATAAGACTCTGGCCAATATGAACCAAGGGATGTTGAGTAAACTCATGTCCGTTTTAGAAGCCACACTTTCCAAGCTGTCGCGATACGACGAAGGAAGCCTTATTGGGTCCATACTAAGTTTCACGGTACGACAAAGCTCTTGAAATTTTGAAAAGAAAAACATATTTTATCGAAACGTTTTCTGCTGTAGAATGTGTCCGGATCGGGAAAAGACGTAGGCCAAAGCTATGTCAATTTCCTGCGGAATAGTATGGAACAAATACGAGGCAAAGTTACGGACGAATTATGGATACTAAACTTCTTTGAGCAGTGGTACACTGCTCAGATGAATATTATCTGTAATTGGTTGTCTGAAAGACTAGACCATACCCTGCATCCCTACCAATGTACGTGCCTTGCTCATATAATAAAGGTAAGAAGCTTTTCGGCTAAAAACAGCGGGACAACGTAGTCGTCAAGTGAAAAAGAAATTTATTTCAGAAAATATACTCGGATTTTGAACTCCATGGCGTTACGGACGACAAACTAAATTCCAAAGCCTATCAAACGATCGCTCAAAGAATGCAAACCGAAGAAGCCACATGTGCTTTGACTTTAGGCCAAACTGAGGGGTGAGTCAGATCTACAACAATGACGGTATTTGCAACACTTCGGCGTATTTTAGAGCTCTAGAAATGGGCGAAGACGACTCTACAGAGAGTAGAAGTAAATCGCTGATGGGTAGTTTAGGTGGCGAAGAAGGAAATCCGCTATCGAATGTCGGCAACATGGTGGCGGGTAGAGTTAGTAACTTCCTAGGCAAAGGCATAGGTGGAATTGGTTCTAAATTAGGCGGGGGTTCAAGTTGGTTTTAATGTTTTGGAAACACTTCTAAACAACTTTTACTAGACTCTTATTGGTTCTTGCTTAGCTAACTCATAAAGTTTTAAAGCGTTGCCTTTCGCTTGTGGAATTTGGAGAGGAAAATACACGCGGGTGTGAAAAATGAAAGATATTCTTCAACGGCAAATAGACATTCCTGAAAGGGATGTTTCAAGAGATTGAGAGCGTGAGGATGCTGCGCCATTTAACAAACGGTACACCCATATGGAAATTGACGAAATTGACGAAGCCGATGACTCATCCTCCAAAATCAATCAAAAATCAACAAAATATGAATAAGAATCATCAGTTTAAAAATGTCCCTCAAAAGCAGAGAATACACAGGAAATGCAAAGGAGAAATATAAACCAACCTGGCATGACTCACGCTAGGTTCAAAACGATTAGTTTTAAGTTTGGCGCTTTCGTTAAACCATAAGAAATTTGTATCTGAAAGAAGTAAATTTATGTATATTTTTCATTCATTTAAGGAACATTTTATAAGTTATCTATATATTCATCTAAGAAGAGACACCATAGAAAATTGAAGTCAAAGTGTGAGCTCCGACAAGAGAAAAGCTCTCATAGATATTTTCAGATTCATCACAGTAGGAGTTTCCGAAGATTTTGTTGCGCAACAGGCGAAATATGTGCGGGACCTGCAGAAAATGAGTCCGCCAAACTCTGTCATATGATTACTCCCTCAAAACTAGCTACAAAAGCTGCCGCAGTTGAAGAAGAAGCAGTGGGTATCTAAACCGGAGTTTTTTCAAATTATTACTTTCTTTCAAATGATTTTGACTTGTCTTGGAGACACCAAATTGAAAATCACATAAATGCAGGAATAAACTTCGTCGATACAATGACCAGACGAAAGGTAAGACTGACTAAACTAACATTGTTTGAAGCTCAATATATATAAACGAGTCATTTGTTTCAGATCTCGCTAGATTTGAATCGAAAAATAAATTTACAATGAAAGTAGCCTGAGCAAAAAAATGACTCAGGCTAACTCACAATTTTTGCGGGCCAAATAAGTAGTAGGCAAATATAGGAATGAAAAAATTATTGCCTCCAAGGGCTTTACTGTGATAATTGCTGATTCCATCTCTTCTTCAGGTAGTTCAAGCTGAGGAAATTAGGAACGCACAAGTAACTTGTTATCTTGTTTCAGAGCATATGAGGATGAACATCATCTTTAGGGTGAAAAGTTCTTTCTGCACAATGACCATTTGTGGGGTATGATGTTAACAATTTTAGCAGTATGTACTATCAAATTTTATTGGCGATATCGAACGCTCGACGTTCTTAGTCAAGATTGAAACAAAGCAGGAATTGAAAACACATAAAGTCTCACTTTGTGGGGAAAGAGGTGGAAATCAAATATTCCATGAAACATTGGCGATGTGATGAACACCGAAATATATTTCTGGCTCTGGTTTATTTAATCCCATCCTATCGTTCATTTAGGGCTACAGTGCGATTAAGGGTTGGTAAAGGTTACAAGAAGCGTTTCTAAACATTTCAATTGTGTGGGTTACATAATTTTACAGTATTGTTAAATATTTTATTAATAGCCATTTGAGCACGTTATGCTGGCTTTAAGCGTACTTAAATATTTATCAACAGTTTTCGGAGTTAACTGCAAATTTTCCAAGCATATCAAGTACACTTGTCAAGTTGATTGATTTTTGTTTTTGAGCACTAGTGCAACATAATCGCACCATTGATTAATGAAGATTCAGCACCCTAGATACAGTCTTGACCTCAGAAACAAAATGACACCAACGCAATTTCGATTAAAACCTTAGCATTTCTTCACGTTTCTAAACGGCATTCGATCATCAGACTCTACATTTCAAACCATTTTCTGCGGTTCAGGATTAACTGAGACCCACCAAATTAGAGTAACTTTGATAAAACATAGATGTGTTGAGCAAATCAAGGGTAATCTTCGCTTTATTAGTAATCTTCACAGATTATTGTTCAAGTTGTGAATCAAACCTTCGGAAGATGATATAGAGGAATCAACACATTTGGACAGGGAAGTTCACATTTTCAATATGAAATAAAGCGCAGAATACGTGCTATTTCAAATCGGATTTTAAATCATATTAAGGACCTGAAATAAACCGTTGCCGATCTACTGAGAAGAACCTAACGCTGTACATACAAGGTTCATGCCTCACGACGATTGTACATAGAGCCTTCCCAAAATTGTACATAAGACTTTCGAAAGTCTGAAAATTAATATTCTGAAACTCACATATCTCATCGGTTCCATGCGAAACGTTTGGCATTTTTTCAAGGAAATGCTCTAGTTCTGTGTATTATAGATAGTGATTCAAAGAAAATGTTGCGATCTGCGATGTGACTTTCAAAATTGACATAAACGCTCTCGGTCTTAAGAGTGGATTTTATGAAGTAATGGAAATCTTCGAGTAGATCTGCGGCATGTCAGTAAACGAGTGGCCTATTAGTGAATTATATAAGTGGCTAAATATGAATTGAGAAACCGATTTAAAAGAAATGCTTAAGGTTGAATCTCGGAATGTAACAAGTACAAATTTATTTTATATCTGGATATCAGATACATAATTTATAACGTGTTTAGCATGAACTAGGTCCTACTTATCTTATTAAATCTATCAAGTTTTCTTATTGTATATGAATCGAGATTGTGCGTTGGTTTTTACTGCCTCAAGACTTAATTGTTACATGCCTGTTTGGAATTGTGAATTATCTCAGAAAAGCTTTAATATGAATCTATATAGTAATAAATAGTGTTGTGATTTACGATACTATTCCTATCAATTGGTGTTAAAAAATTTGGTGTTATAATAGAAAAATTATTTTTTAAGCAATGTTTTAAGTGAGCTTCCTAAGGGGCGAATCTTTAGAATGTATAAGTTATAGTGCCTTGTGTTTGCATATAATATTAACACAATATTTCTTACTCATTATGACTTAGTTTAAGCTAAAAAATCTTGATAATAATGGGAATGGCCTTGTGACCCACGGCTATTTAAGATACTGACCAGAAATTAATGTGACAATAGGTTTTATAAATGAGGCAAAACCTGCTAAGCAAAAATCCCTTGGAAATTGTTTAATTTAAAAAACCCGAGCCTAAGAAGACTAGAAATTAATTTTAAACAAAGTCAACCCTGTTTTAAATGTTGTGTTGGGAGCACTACTTTTGCAGTAGATGTAATGGAGATTGATCCACTAATTAGTTACAAAATCTCCTTAACTCCAGGAATGGGGAAAATAGTTTGCTGCTGTAATGTAAGATTAGTGATTTACTTGCTGTGCATCCTTCCGCCTAATTGCGTTCAATATAATTTGTTATTTGCGTATCCAAAGCTTTTTCACACAAGACTGCTGCCTTATATACATATAAATAAACTAGGTAAGACTTTTCAACCATATAGTGGTATTTTTTACTTGATGTATTCGAAATAATCGCAACTTGCATTTGAAGTTGTAAATTTATTCAAAATTCAGTAATAAGTAGGCTTTAAACTGTTTGGTCTTGTTAAGAACTATGCCTTTGGTGGTGTTAAATTAACTATAACTGCCGTGGTGTCTCTTTAGTAATTTTACTCAAAAATTGTAATTTATTAGAGTTGTGTACTGGGCAGGTGAAAAATCAACGCAACACTCTCATTGATATGCAAGCTTAGCTTTAACTTTCACAACTATATGTATATTGTTAGTATTTAAATAAATATATACACATTATTATTACAGAGTTCTTTTCGGCAATGCGGTGATTAATATTTAATGCAATATACATACAAATATATATAAACCTTAATATTTTCAATTCGTTTTAAGCCTTCCGCGCTTTACAACTTGAATAAATGCAGGATGCTTTATTGATAAAATCTGTTGTATTTATCCTCTTTAAAGTCATGTACGCATCTTGTTATAATTATTAAGATTGAAATAAGGTAACTTGTATGGTAAGAAATAAATTGTTTTAAAATATATGGACTTTTATAAATTTTTTCATATCCTTAAAGTGAAACTCCGATATCAAACGATGTCAACAGGGGTGGCAGGTCAAGTATCAAGCTCTTAAGCAAATAGAGGCCAGCGATTTTTTGTGTGCGGATAAGGCGTATTAAAAGATGTAATAAAACACCAACATCCGACGAAACCAAGCATTAATGTAAGGAATCAGCATCGAAAACACGCGACAAGAAAACACCAACAATCAGCAACGACGGACAAATTCGTAAATTCAAGACAACCCTTTTCGAAGAACGTCACCTACGCATTTTAGTATGGTAAGAAATAAATTATTTCAAAATATATGAACTTTCATAAATTTGTCTATTTCTACCTGGCAAAGGTAAATATCAGATGGACAATTTCATTAGTAAATATGAAACAACGTTAATAGGGGTGGCCGTTCAAGTATCTAACTCTTAAGAAAATGAAAAGGATCCGGCGTGGTAAGCTAATAAATGAAACACCAAATCAGACCTTAACACGAGCTGCAATCTCCATTTGCATCTGCAAACTGTTTAAGTCGCTAGTAAATAGCAGTCCTTCCTATGCAATCTCAGCTAGTATTTTCCACCTCTTTGTCTGATCAAGCCGGAAGGATGGCGTGAACAATTTCATGTTCCAGAGCTTTCTTCACTTGCAACGTTACAAGGCGCGGACCGTCTGTGCTTCGTTTTAGATAGATCGCAATGTCAATTTTTTAAATTAAAGATATTTTATTGCACAAAGCAAATAGTGTATAATCTATAAAACAAGTAAACACTAAAAACTCCACAAGAAATTTACCCAAAAATAATCGAATCCAAGTGCGGCAAAAAAATGATACTAAAGAAAGTTGTATTGGCGATTAAAATGTCTCGCTATCGCTGCTCTAATAAAACTCAGACGACTAAGAGAATGTTCTCATTGGCCCTTATAAATATAAGTTTGTTGCATGATCCTTGGGTAAATCGATATATTTCATTAATTAACTTATCCACGTAGGCCGCACCTTTTTTGCCTGTGTCTGCGCTTAATGCGTTAACGGGTGAAAATCAGTTGTTTCATGTCCTTTGGCTGCTAAAATGGGAAACAAGCTCATTACATTTACAGATCAGCAGCTTGTTAATTACCAGGTAAGAATTTTTTAAATTGTTAACCTTTCTTAAATAATATTTTCAGTACTTTGAACTATTAATATGTTTTTCAGGATTGTACATTTTTTACACGAAAGGAGATTTTAAGGCAGGTAACTTAGCTCAATGAGGAAAGCTTTTTTGTGGCTAAACAGCAGCATTTTAGAGTGTACAAGAAGTTCAGGGAAATGAAACCCGATGTGATTCCGAGAGTAATGAAGAAAAATGAGGCATATTCGATTAAACTTCCTGTCGAGTGCACAGAGCAACTAGCAGAATTCAGAGTAAGCTATTTGTAAAGGATGCTAAAGCTTATTCGAGTTGAAAATCGCTGGTTCAATGTTTCAAATAAACCTCAACAGCTACTTGCTCCAGTTAGAAATAGAATTATACCAAACCGCTGCTTAAAAATATTTGTAAAAATTATGTTATATGTAAAGGCGCTCCGTTTTGCATTGTTTAGTGAAATATTTATTTTCAGGAAAATCCTTTCAAGCAGAGGATATTTAAAGTATTTTCTCGAGACTCAAGAGGAAATCTAACGTTCGAAGATTTTTTGGATATGCTGTCTGTATTCAGCGAAGCCGCTCCAAGAGACATCAAAGTATTTTATGCGTTTAGGATATATGGTAGGGGTAAAACGATCCAATAGTTTTTACAAGCAACATTTAACTAGCAAAATATTTATATAGATTTTGATAACGACCAGTTTGTGGGACCAGCAGATATAGACACAGCGCTCACTTTGCTCACGAAACAAGAACTAACTGTAGAAGAAAGGCAGCAGATAACCGAAAAAGTGATTGAAGAGTCAGATGTGGATGGAGATGGAAAACTCTCCTATATTGAATTCGAACACTGCATAACGAGGGCCCCTGAGTTCCTGTCCACCTTCCACATCAGAATTTAAGTATTACCCACTCAGTATAAATTTTAACTAGTTAAGATAGAAACTGTAAATAAATTGGATTAAAATATCGTGCGAAATCGATGGGTCAGTGTGTTGAGTGTACAATTAATAAATGATTTAAAAAATTGTGCAAGACCATTTCAATTATATCTATTATTCCAGTTGATGAGGGACCAGACAAGCTCGAGAATGGTATAAACTGCAGGGAACTGGACATTCAAACAGCCCACCATGGGATAATGTTTTCTGAGCCCCACTAAAAGTGTATTATTTAATTTTCTCTGTGGATGAAGCTCCAAGAAATCAGTGTAAGCGGTATGAGGGAAGATTTATAAAGCAGAATATTATTTGTTAAAAAAATTTGGATTTGGCGTTTTTACTTCTGACGTCAATTATTGCAGCTTTAGAAGTGTATCTCATATATTTGTTCTTATATAGTTGTATAATCCCAGCTTAATCATAGGAGCTAGCTTTTGGGAATGTTGGCTTAAAAAAAGGCTCGGTATCGGTCGATCTGCTTAAAATTGCCAGAAATGTGTGCCAGCTGCAGCAACCCAACAATACTAATCCCAAAATCAGGCCACCCGGCAGCAACAAACTATGTTTAATTGTGAACGCTGAAAATTGTCTTTATAGGTTATATGGGGGCAATTATTCAAGTACGTAGTACTAGTATTAGCAAAATATCAAAAGTTTTGCTTTTTTTGCTTCATGAAAGGGATTTTTCGCGGCGTAAGCGGACAAATAATTTTTGGAATAAGAAATTTTACTGCTTTCGGCGGGATAGCGTTTTATCGCTACGTACTTGAATAGTGCTGCCACTAAATCCATGCATGTGTAAACCCATTTTTCTGTAGATAAACTGGTGCAGATTTCAATGTCAGTGAATTTTGGGACATAAGTTGAGGACCACCCTGTATAATTGATATTTTCACATCTGGCAAATTATGCTCAGAAATGTTGTTCGGAAAACAGGCAAAAGCATATCAGAAGCTCGATGACATCGAGGTCGAAAATTGAACAGTAGTAGTGTTGTAGTTTAACTTTCTCAGGTGAGTCCATGTGAAAAAAATACCAAAATATTCTTCAACTTCACAATCACCCTTGTCCGATGGTGGACTCTAGTGCAGTTCATCAGGAATCAGGATTCTGATGTCCTGAACCATTGAAAACATCACGCGTTTTCAAGCCTTCAAAGCTTGTTAAGGACAATTTCAAAGAAAAAAGAATTCACCAAATCTTCATTAGCTTTCATTTAATGATTCACAGTAACACATAGAGACACTTTTGGGCCTTAACAATGAGTAAATATATTTAAAGCATTCAAAGAGTATAACTTCCAATAAATAATGACATCAAGCAGCAACATTGAGGCAACATCTTCGGATTTAAATAAATTAAGTTCCGAAAGGCTGGGGGATTAAATAATTCAAATTTCCCAAGTGTGAGAGCACAACAGCATGGAGAAAATGAGTCTCGCTTGGATCGAATCCAGCAAATACTGGATGAAACTCAGAAGCTAGAAGGTTTATCACTTACACATAAACGCATTTACGACAGGCATATAAATATAGTAACATTACATTAAACGAGGCCATCAAAAAGTTTGATCCAAAATATATGCTATATGGATTCAGTGAGATAGATCTTTGTTAGGACAATAACAACAGTTAGAGTAGAATAATTCGGTTTTGTTTATATCTTCTTCAGTGTAAGACGCGATCTAGCAATTTCAATTCTTAAAAATTTGAAGCTTATTTCCCTGAATTTAATCGCGATTTAGAAATATATAAAAATCAACAGTATTAAAATTACGAGGACAAAATAGAATAGACTATGTTTTGTACAGGTAATCACAGAATTAGTATACAACTACAGAAGAAGATGGACAATTAGGTTCCGACTTTTTAAGTTTGGGTTTGATAAATTTGGGATTGAATGGCCCCAGGGCATCTTCGTTGGTAGACGTTGGAGACTCGTGACGATCTTTCTTCAGCACTTCTATTTGCCTAATTTCGGCCAACAGTACTGGAACGTTTAAAAACGAAATTATTATGCTTCTAAACACAATAGGTAACAAAATCAAAGTGGGATCAGAAGGGAGGAAGTTAAAATCTCAATGTTATAAAATGACAGACCTTTGCTCCAGTCTTTGTCCATACTTGCCATTGCCAGAAAGGGACTAATTCCGGAGTGCAGCAACCCAATACACTGCGTCAATTGCATGATTTCCAAGCTAACTGAATCTTTATCCACCATATCGTATAACTCGCAAGTTGTATATGGTCCCCACATAATACAAAAGCATGTTGCCATTAGCAGTAGAAAATATCCCAATCTTCGCCGATGTTTGATACTGCTAAGTCTTGACTTATCTTGCGCCACTTCATTTGGCTTTACAGCATCGCCTCGCTAGCAAGAAACATCCAAAAATTTAAAAAAAAGTATCTTTGGTTAACCGTTTTCGGCTACCTGTGCACTCCCAGTTACGATAATTACTTGAGACCTGGTCATATGATCCTTCATGGGCATGGGCAAGGTAAAATCTCCATGATGGGCGCGAATTCGAAGCGAAACCGCTGTTAGGTTTGTATAGATACACACATGGATAATTAGAACCTACAAAACCGAACATACAAAAAAGCTTTAGACAAAGCATCAAAATAGAGTGCAAACGCAGAACATAAAAATCAATTAGACTTTTCTCTCCCGTTGATCCACATGAGAAAACTGAAGGCCTTCAAACAGAAACTGGGGATTCAACAAAAAAAGCATTTTTGCGTAGCAAATGGGCACTAACAAACGAAAACTCGTGTGCAACAAAAAAAACTGAACAATCTGGGGGGGCACGTGAAAAGATGGTCGCATTGACGATCACACCGGCAGCAAAGATCAACTTGCCTATTTTAAATGAAACTGCCAAACATCATTTTTGTGTTCCACCGATTTTAGTGATAACAATTTATTGTCTCTAATTATCAATTAAAATACGTTTCGGTGTTTTCCACCATCATCAGTTTTTATGTGTAGCGTTGTTGCTACTTTAAGCCTTGGCATATATTTTTCTGAAAATTTTGATTTGGAATTGGAACACAGTCAGGAAAGTATGTACAATTTAGTGATAACACAAAAACGACTGGCTTTATTTTATTTGACTTCGAAATAAAAAACAAGGATTAGAAAAATTCACTCAGTCGATCAGAACGCAATTGACGTTGCTACTTACCACAAAGACCGGAATTCCATGAACCATCATCACTTTTATAAGAGTTGCAAGTAAGATCCAAGAAATGGCTTTATGTCAAGAAAATGTCTCCAACAGAATAATAAGGGATGAAAGGACGACCACCAAGCCTAAGATAAAGGGCAATATTTGCTCCCTGGTGTACTGCTTCAGTGACTGATATTTTTTGGCCACGCAGTATCGGTCTACAGCCACACACATCATCGAAAGGGTCGCACAAGAAACAGGCAACTCCTAAAACAAACCAACACTGAAAATATTTCTTCTCAAATTTCATAAAATAGACTCTAAAGCATCATATTCCCATGAAGCTGAACTTCATTATTTGTTGATAGAGAGAGAGTTAGATAACAGCATTGAACCGCCAAGTCCACAAAACATAAAATACAAAATTATTGCAGCCAAAAAGCAACTGGTTTTTATTGTTGTACGTTTTATTAGTGTATATTTGGTTTTGTTCGTTCGTTCGCTAACCAGAGCAGTTGGCTTTAAAACATGTCATTTAACTGTTATCTCCCTTGAACGAAATGTTCACTAAACTAAAACACCAGTTCATTTCAGAAAACTAGACGTACATTGTTAAGTTATAGTCTATTGAAATGGGCAGCGTATTGCTGAATATTTGTTCATTGTTATGTAAAGCTGTGTTTGGAATAAATTATACTTTGAAATAATACTTGACTGTTAAAGCGATAGCATTAAATAACCGAGCTTGCTGCATCATTTCAAAACCCTTGCAAACATACTAATTTGTCGCCTTTCACCAAAAGCTTCAGTTCGTATACATCGCATTATAATGCCTCAAATATTTGAGGATAGAACACAGGCGGGAGACGATAAATCACTTGCGTCGGCTAATTAACCGACTTTGATACAGAAGTACGCTTTAAAGCGTTCGAAATTTAAAAATTCACATGAGCACATACGCTGAATAAATCCAAGACTTGCAAATGTGGTTCTAATCTCCAGGATTAATTGGGGGCTTTAGCTCTAATGAAAGAGGCGCCTGCGATATGTGAATACATAACTATGAGTCTCATACTCAGCCTAATGGACCTTTCGCAATAATCATTCAAGGTGGGAATATTTTGGATTTGAATATACATGAAGTTCACCTTTCGGTATCAAGGCAATCCAATTTACACATCCACAGTGGCATAAATTAAAATTTATGAAACTGTGAAAGACGAAAACCAGATACCCAACCAAAAGGTGAAACAGTCAGCTAATTTGTCTGTTAACACTCACATTAACAGTGGAAATCACCCAATAAATAAAATTACCTCACAGAAAAGAAAGGGCGGTAGATATTGGACCACTATGGTACAATTAACAAACAGGTGGGCGGAGCAAAGAGGAATGCGTTAGTACTATTGGATAGATTGCAGAAGCTAGAAAATGTGAGTAACAAATCAATGAAGCAATCCGTAAAAGCAAATGTGTGTGACACTACAAGACGAGGGCGAAAAGTGCTGGGTCGAATACGTGGAAAGACTAATTGGTTTTTAATGGCAAAATAACAAATAAAACAACTAAGTGAAATATCCTTGGGCAGAAAAGTCCAGAAAATATGGGATTTTCACTTCCGCAAGCACCCCGCATAAATTGTTGAGGGTTGGATGCTATGCAACCCAAAGATATTAAAACGCCTCCACGCCATCGCGGCCCAAACCTAATTGTGACATTGTTTGGAAAACATGAAGGAGCAGTGAAAAAATTAATAACGCGCGTAAATTGACGTTAATTATGTAAAACACGCCATTGTACAGTGTAATTAAAACAAAATGTTCGCGTATTACTGGCTTAAGCCAAATTGCGATCCGATCTAAATTACACCTGTTTATCCAGTGTTCGCGGAAGAAGAAATGAGAGTTACTTGTTTTGTTTCATAATAGGAAACTAAAGATATCGGGTTCTGCCTCAAAGTTAACAAATGTAGTACATGATCAGTAATTTGAAACATACGTAAGCCCTCCAAATCAATTTACCGAAGCTCTTAGAAAGTCATTGAGGCACGGTCACAAACTGCGAATATAAGCACTTCAAACTATATGGGTTAAAGCGTTCCTCCAAAGCCTATCAGGGACCAATCAATACCAAAAGCTTAATTTCGGCGTAGTAATATATTAATTACTACCCTTGGTCAAATACTAATAGTCTATTATGAAACTTCATCAACAATTGGCGTATTAAAATTAAAGGGATCGAGGTAGCGCAGATTTGCGAATGACTCGATCAACTTTGATCTACATTCCAAAGTTAGGCTATTAGGTGGGTGTTGACGGGATTAAAGGGGTTTAGTCTGGCTCAGCTTTCCACCGGATTATATAAGATACTCGACTTTAAAAATGAGCCGCCCTGATCAAATGGAAGTCAGTCAAGCATTCGCTGAACCAATGTTTGAACTCGAGTGAAAACATCAAAGAACAGAATTTGGCCGCGTAAATATCCTTTGCAGCGTTACAATTCGATCACTTTGCCATCTTTGCAAAGCTTCAGCTAGCATCAAGGGGTTTACGAGGATAACAAGTTAAATGATGAGGGACAAGCTAAATAATTTTCCTTCCAAAATGCATTCGGGAAATTGAAGCATGGTGAATGGTGAATTGTTGATGGGAAATAAAACTGAGAAAACAAATTTTTAGATAAAGTGAAGCAAATATTGCAAAATGGCTATGTCGTTGGGACTAGCAAAAATAAATCTATATCATTAGTCATTGGGTCATCCAGTCAAAAGCAAAAACACGTTTCTTTCAAAGATCTTTAATTAATTTCTGAACTTTGCTCTTTCGAAGTTTCTCTATACGAAAGCATAAAATCTATAAAATTCCCATTAGGTTTGAGAAATTCTAAAGTTACAACAGTTGCGTCAGTTTTTAATTTGCTGCTAAAGGGATTTACGGGAGGGAAAACTGAGCTGTAAAAGTGCTTATGCAAGTGAAATTGCCAAGAAAACGGACCTTTAAGTTCTTAACTTCGAGGCGTTTGGATGAAAATATAAGACAATATATGTTATACGCACCTCAAGAAATTCTAGAAATATGACACCTGTTAACGTTTTCAAATGGGGTTTGAAAATTCGCTTTAACGTTTTCACCGGACAGCTAATCGTACAAACAGATAGATCGAAAACTATCATCCCAATTAAGAGAGGATTTCTTTTAGATTTTGTATTCCAAACTTTGTAAACAAACGCGATATTACTCAAACCACCAATACACGTGTTGAGGATGTAGACACTTAATACTAATCCGGATACAACCATAGTTTTGAAACTAAATTCAAATCGTACAAATTTTCACAAGCGTTTTAACAAAAATCGACCAGAACATTGTTGCGTAAAGAAAAACCGGGAAAGTGTCGTATTTTCCGCGTGTTTTCCTAGCTCGAAGCGCCCAGCTTCCCTGCAAAGCTCGTACTAGACTGAATTTGCGTCGCTGTCGATGTCTGTATACACCCCCGGAAAATTTCATTGCTTATGTCATATTTCTCTTGTGAAAGTGAAAAGGAAAGGGGTTTCACCAATTTGAGACTCGTCCAAAGACGACTGAAAAGGCTCTCACAAATCCTCAAAGAAATAAATAAGGCCTTTGACTTGGGAATTTTTTTCACTCCAAATGGAGATCAAATGGAGAACTTTTTAAGTAACCCATTGACTTATTAAGAAGAAATATTAAAGTTGTCCAAAACTGGAAATGACTGGCTGGTAAAAGCGAATAAAGTTCGCAAAAAATAAACCCACGGAGTTTCAAGCAAAATAATCACATCAAATATGACTGCAATAAGTACATGAAAAGCGCCTCAAAATCTTTCCGGCGTCAGCATTCAAAAACTTTTTAAAGTTAGTATGTTTTGGTGGGATTAGGATTTTGCAAAAGGGCCATAAATTATCGTAAATTTAGCAGGAAATCTGGAACGAATGGGCCCTTTTATTTCGAAGTTGAGGCCAAGATGTATGCAAACGCAGTTTCGCATGATGATAAATAGTCTGAACAATTATATTTATATATATTGTTTTGTTTCGAAAAGAAGCGAAAGCTCCAAACTGATTTATAAGCATTTTCACTGATAACCAAACTTTCTCTAAACCACAATAAGCTACATTTTTGGCAGAAAAATTGTGATTGATATATTCGCCATATATGCAGGTTCGAAACCATTAAAAAATTATATATTTTTTTTTAATGTATTTTAAATTATATCAATTGTAAGTTATTTGTAACAAGGAGGATCTGAAGAATTGGCAGCCTTACTGCAGTGCTCCAACGAACTTTATCCTCGATATTCGATTCTACGGGAATTCGGCAGCATTCGAGTCTACCAACCTCCCGCACTGTGACTTGGTACCGAAGGAATGCGGTTTTGATTAACATTGGTACGAGTAGTACCCGAAGGTGCAACCAATGTACTGAATTTGAACATTTATTGTACTGCTGTGAATGATAATATTTCAGTCGTCCCGTAAAGTTAATGACTCCTAAACGGAACTGGTTGCAACAACAAAATATAATTTACGACGACGAGTTCTATCAAAAAATATCGATCAAATTGGGGATTATTATTTCTGCTAGCTTCATATGGAAACATGCATATGGCAACTTCATTCTGAGGAAATGTATACTACAGTACTCGAAGAAAAAGCAAGGAGTCAAAGCCTTTACAAGCACTTCCATAAAAATACTAAAACTTATCTGTGGGACAGTTTCGAAAGTTTCAAGTGGTAAAATCGACCGTGGCTAGACAGGCTCTTAACGATTGACCACGACGGATAAAATTCACGGAATTCAAACTCCTAAAAGTCGACTAAAACTTTCCTGTAGGAGAGTTTCAAAAGTCTGAAGTGTTCAAATCCACCGTGATTAAACACGCACTTAAGGATTGACCACAAAACATAAAATTCACAAAAGCCAAGAGTCTTGGGCCTCAGCAACGCGTTACGGCCCCCACTAAGAGAAACAGTTGAAATGCGTCAACCCAATAACGAATTCAAAAGAAAATGAGAAACACTGGCACTTAACAAGATAAGAACAACAGCGAAGATAAATAAGCTCGTTTTCATAATGTCGTATAAAGTGCTTTCGGCTGAGGTTGCAAAC